ATGGTCTCACGAGCCTAGCTGACAGCAGGAACACATCCAGATAGACAGATTTTACCCCCTGCAGCTCCACCAAAGTGAATATGGGCCTCCTGGCTCTTCCTGACCGACCTGTGGGTCCAGGTGGACGACTAACTCTCTGGAAAGTTGTGTGTGAGACGTTCTGTAATCTAACCTCCTCCCTGACCGTCTCTGTGATGCTAATCGTCCGCTAATGTTCTCCAGTGAACCTCTGAGGCTGCGTTTATAATGGGATTACATTGCACACAAGTGGACTCTCCGCTAATGATGTGATGTGAATGAAAGGCTGTTTGTTTCACTGGAACTCATTCAGAGACGCCAAAGTAAAGAGGACTATAAACACACACAGTTCTCATCCTAATATTGCCGCTCTGCCTTTCCAGGTGGGTAGCGGAGCATTTTGTGAAAGCCTGGTGTGAGAGGAACTTCTCCCTCCTGTCCCCCGAGCTCCAGCGCACCTGCATAGCCGCCGTAACAGAAACCATGGTGAGTGGATTCCCCCCCACGGTCCTCTGCTGCTCCCTTTCCAAACAGAGCATTTGTTTATTTCACCAGGAAGGAAACAGCAGCGTGATCTAATCAGAGATGAGCTTTATTGGATTCTCTGTTATTAACATCTGGCTAATTTAGGATGTGGATGCTGACAAATGGAGATCGATCCATGCTTGTATTCGGGGGCGGAGTCATTCGACACGCCGTGGTTCAGGCTGATATTCAGATTGGGGGTTAGAGCGCTTACACAATGAGGGGGTTTCCTTCCTCCATCAACAGGGCAGCAGTAATTAACGCCTCTCTGTCTGATGTCGTTTGTTTCACCTTTTCTGTTTTGTTCCTAGAGAGCTTTTCTTTAGCTGATAGATGTTTCCCCTCAGACTGTGCGGAATGCTGTGACGTTGCTGTGCGGCATCGAGCAGCTGATCGGCAGCCTCCCGGAGGTGAAGTGGGCTCAGCATGTGAGGTGCATGGCCATAGAACTTCAGGAAGAGAGCCTGCGCTTCATCGTCCAGCACCTCCCCAGGGTCATCCACACTCAGGCCTTCCAGGACCTCCGCAGGGTAACTGTTCCTGAGTCCTTACATTTCAGATGTGTTTATATCACTTAACTTTTTAATATTTTGTTAAGATATATCAGCTTTTAATGTGAATTGCATCTCACATAACAGAACTACGGAGTGAATTTTGCTTCATTATTGTTGCAAGCAAAGCGTGCTATTTATTATTGCAAATTAGAAAAACTGAAATCTAGAATAAAACTGTGAAAAATGCTGTAATCATTGAGAGGAAATTTTCCAAATTTTCAGATTTTTTTTGTTTTGTTTTGTTTTTTGTTTTCCATTTTTCCCCCAAAATTTTTTAGGCTTTCTTTTTTTATTTTCTTTTTCCACCTTTAAAAAAATTCTCAAAATTTCCCACAATGCACCTTGAAAAGTGATGTACATTGAAGGCCACTAGGCGAGCAGATGTATCCCAGATTGCTCTGCAAAAGCTCTCCTCGCAAAGCATCATGGGATTTATTTTTGGGGCGAGATAGAGCGAAGACAGCGCAGGAACAGAGCAGGAAGCCGGAGTCAAGTGACCAATAGGGTTGTCACGATACTAAACTTTTCAACTCGATACCGATACTAAGGAAAATACTCGATACTCGATACCATTTTCGATACCACAAGGATAA